ATAGTTTTGACCTCTTTGATTAAGGTTTTAGTAGAACTAACCATGGTTAAGAACATTCACCATACGAAATCTTACTTTTTCCCATACATTTTTTGCAAAGGAAATATAGCCGAATCACATCATAAATGGTTCAAGTTGGATATGTGAAACCTATTTCTATTAACGTTCGAATAAGGTAGTACGGTTTAGAGCCAACCATTGCTAAGATATACTATGAACGAGTAGAAATGAGAAATGAACTTATTGACGTTATAATACTGCCGTAGTTTAGCTTATGTGGAATACAGCAGATATGGTTTGGTCTTTAATTTTAATGTGATTCACAAGATTTCTCTCCCTTGCTCTTGGTAAGTTTTTATTGATCTTGAAATTAACGTAAACAGCCAGAAGAATTATATTCTCCTTCGCTTGTGGACCGCTGTTAGCCATCATGGCTGGAATTGTCAAAGGCCCTAAATATTTTTGTAGAAAATACACGCGCTTTAAAAAAAAAATTATACTTTAAGCTGATATTACTTAAGTTATTCATTCTTCTCGACGATAAAACCACTTTTCCATTTGGAGTAAGGTTTTAACAATAAAATAATACAGAAAAATCAACACAATGAACTCAAAACCGCCGTTCCAAACAAAAGCATTTTATTTTGTTTGTGCCAATTGTAAAAACAAAGCAACCATAAGCGAAACCAACAAGTTATTTACAATTTTTATTCGTAATCTTTTGTATCAGTTCAGTATAGTCTCGTATAGTTGATCAACCGTAACAAAATGAATCTGAAACAAACCGGAAACTGTAACAGTAAAAAGTAGTGTTTAATTTATGTTCATTACATTCCATAAACATAACAATACTATTTTGTTAAAGTTAACATAGCTAGTAAGGTATAAGTGAAGTTTGAACTGTTCTAGAAATGTTTTTTTTTTTCTTTCTATCCGGGTATCACGAAAATAGTCGCTTAATCTGAAGTAGCGCTCTGCCCCGATTCGATGCACGAGTGTTATTGATTTATTTATTCAAACACCGTACGGTATGTGCGTCGTTTACCTACAGCCGATAATATTTATCTTACTGCCTTAAGCGGATTCTAATGAAACGGAATGGAATTCCAGTCTCTTTAGCGTAGGGGTGGACGGGGCAAGATCGCCACCCGCGACAAGATGAGCACCCTTTAAGTTTACATAAATAATCTTTCTGCAAATACGTACCTTTCAACAGTAATCCTAAGATGCACCGTTCCAAATTATTTAGAGATATTCAATAGCTAGGGGAAATGGATGTGATGTCGGCCTAAATGCCCCTAATTTGGGCCCATACATAAATTTAGCAAGCGACTAAATTTCCAATAGCGACCACAAATATCCATTAATACCGTCCAAATGACGTGTTCATCTAGATAAAATTGATAAATAGCAATTTTTTTTAGCGATGGGCCCAATCTTAGATGCATAGGCCAACATGAGAGCCATTTCCCTTATCAAGAAACTTGGCTACTGGTCGCTTCTAAAGTTTCGTTTGTTACAACTTTCAAAAATGTTTCAACATGGTACTGATATTTTGTTTTGATAATCTAAATTAATAAAAATTTAAAAATATCATATAAAAATAACTTTTGCTATAGGTGAACGTCTTGTTCAGTAAGGGTGTTCATAATTCTCCCAGACACTGCTGAGAACGGAGTAAAAAAGTTAGTTTTTAATTTTAATTTATTATTTATTTATATTTAGATTATAATAATTTATTTATATTTTATTTTAATGTTTTATTTATTGATTTTCATATTTCATTTATTTATTATTTATTAATTTATATTATTATTTATTTTATTTAAATCTGTCCCATAGCACAAATCGGCAAGTCGAAAAAACGCGTTTTAAGTTTCCGTCGCACAATTGCGTCTTATGTAATGGTACAACCCGTTTTACTGTATTTCCAAACATTTCCAGAACAAAGTTGTTGAGCTTCCCAAGTAACAATCTAAATGCTTGGAAGATTTATTCTTATTTTATCATTGTTTTATCATAGTATCTCTTCCAGCCTGTGGTTGTATTACGGTTTTGTGTGCTTGTCATAAAATCAGGCCGTCAAGTCGTCTATAAAACTGTTTTATGACTACTAAATTAAAACTCAGACTTCATAGTTTTAACGGTAGCTGTAAGGTGGTTCTGCATCACTACTTATAACTGAAGAATAAAACCAAAACAAAACATACAATTATGTTTTATGGTACACTTTTTATGACCGATATAAAACTTGAAGCAGTCTTAGACCTTCATTAAAGCTTCATTACAACTATCATCTTTATCAGAGGCCTAAGATTCACAGATAAGAAATATACTGCTACAACAAAAAATACTCTGAATTTTTTTGACATTATAAAAAGCAAATCTATTCAGATATATGAAATGAAAGCCCCTTCAGTGCTTCTGAACACGATGAAGATGATACGATCGACAATATGAAACTCCTGGAGGAACTACAGTTATACGATCCCTACATAAGGCACAGTGCGGTGAAGGAGCTCTTAAAAATATTGAACAAGCGGCTTTCCGATACACTTCCGAAAGATCCACGAACCCTTCTTAAAGCAACGCCGACAGTTTCACTAAATCCGGTTGGAGATGGCCAGTATTGACATCACGGCTTTAAACCTTGTATTGAAAAAGCTTTTAGTGGATCCAATAAGCATTTCTTACATCTTGATTACAAGCGAAAATAGGAGGATCGCTTGGAATGTTGACTTTTTGACAGGTGGTCATGGTTTTTGTTTTGTTTTGATTCGCTGTACCGAATAAAACCAGCAACCTAGTTATATAGCTTAAATATAACTTAACGCTCTCAATTTGGACTACGAAATGCTAAGATACAACCATTAGGTTTATGTTATGCTATAGAATTCCAATCTAGGAGAATATGTTATATTGAGGTATTTTTAAGGAGTAGCAAGTTATAACGAAAAAAAATGTCGCCGTATGAACAAATTTCACACAGTATGAATAATAACGCTTTAATTGATAGGCAATAAAGCACTTTCATACATCTATGTATAATTAAATAATATGTGACTGGTTATTGCTCAACAGTAGTAACAGTTTTGTACTAAATAGATAATCTTTGAATGACTCTTTAATGCATGGTGCTAATGCAGACAAATTAAAAATATCCCTATCTTTTAGTATTCATATGGCGCACTAAATTTATGCTCCTATTTGGTATAATAATCACCATAAATATTGCACGGCATGCTGTGAAGCATATACAGATTGGTTTAAAATTATAATAAAGTCGTCTTATTTTCAATGTACAATAATATCAGCCATTATAACCAACTGACAAGGATCGTGATTTCACATCAAACATCGAAAGAATAAAACCACAATAAAATATTTCTCAATATTAACTATCATCCAAAAACCCCAACTTAAAACCTTCAAAGTTGTCAAAATGTTTTGCGTATCATGTTTTATCAACTTCTTCAGGAGCGATTTATGCGGTTGTAATATAGTTTTATGGTAGTCATTAGAAGGCTGTTAAAACTTTCTGACCTGGAGGAGGTTTTATGTTTTCATTTTTAACAATCACGTCTAGAGTGTGATAAAACTGACATAAATCCTATGCTCCTAAAGTAGTTCACATATCAAGTTTTAATGACTGCATTAAAACTGGGCCAATTGGCCATGACATGGCTGTATTGCGGTTCTCAGGAGATTGTTAAAGCAATGTGGTCGTCAGTGAAGGTTTTATAATTTGGTTATATCAACTGCTATAAAACTTAAATAAAACAAAAATTGTTGCTTGGGTTATCCAGTGTTATGGAAATATGGGTGGTTAGGTACCATTTCCATTGAAAAAAAAAAGTTTTTCAAAAAGTTAAACGACTTACGATTAGCGGCACATTGAATTCTTTCAATGCGTAGTTGCTAGAATAGAAATGAAAGAACTAGGGTAGCCAATGTTTCAATGTATTAATTGTAATTATTACATATGAAAATGATGCCAACCTTATGGTGGCCATCTTTCCCCGTCTACCCCTATTTGATAGCACAATACCATGGGGCTTATCTACACCAACATTGATCTCCGTGCCGTAGAAACACACTACACGCTTCTGAGCTTCTGAGTGTTCGAATTTCACACCACCACCCTCTTGCCGTACAAATTTGCAAACCAACTTGAAGTAACTCACATTTTTTGAATTGGACATTGTTCTCATGTGAGGAGTGTGTGGTTCTTCCCGTTCTTCCTTTTTGATGGTAGCGAAATCACGACCAACAAAAGAAAAGGCCCAATCAGCTTAGGTACAACGCGAATACCAAGAATTTCTCCTTATTCGGATGTTGTTGATTTGCGTAGGCGTATGCTTCGCTTCGCGATGGGACGGTGTTTTATTTGCAATAGTTTATCGGCCCTTTTCCATTGTAAGTCGAGAAATTGATTTCTTGACGCGAGCGGAGGGAGAGTGTCCAAGAGGCGGACTGCTACACACCAACTACGACGTCATGAATCGCGATTCGCTACTTTGACCCCATTGTACACCGCAGATAGTTTGCAGCGCCGGTCGTTGGATTACATTTCGTAGCTGGCTTATAGAAAATGTATTGAATTCTCTGTTTTGGAGTATTTGTGTGTTTTAGCCAATATATCAAAAATGAAATAAAAACAAACATACTTGCGAAATGCACGGGATTGTTTGCGGTGTTTAGGTGTTTAGTAAACCAATAATCATCTAATCATCAGGTAATAGACTTACAGGTGCACATATGAACATTTTCAACCACAACGATGAAAGGTCAATTTCACCTATAAGGCGTGCAACGTAGCTGAAATGGACAAGCATGATTTTGCTTTATTGCTACCGTTTTTTTTTTCATAACGTCATCGAGTCAGAATGATAACAGAGTTGACTTCGGCTGATGTTGGTTGTGTGTACAAAAATCGCGAATCGCGAGATCTCCGGTCAGCGAGCTCAGTCGAGATTTAGCCGCCGAGCGAGGTATTTTCGGTTGTTTGGTTGACTTTCGCATAGGATCTTCGGAACGCGCGCGGAGTGGTGGCTACGCTGCAAGTAATTTGGGTGAAGTTTAGTGAGTGTGTGATTAGAGCTTTGCTGTTTAGTGCCTAGTCGGAGTAAAAAACAACTATAACAGCGGAACTATGGGAATCACTAGAAAAATTGTCGTCGTTACATCGACGCTGGTGTTGGCCTTAGGTTGGTATTATGTGGATCGTAACTATTATGTAAACTACAGTGATTCATGAAGATTGAAGACTCTGAAATAATGCTAGTGAAATGTTTAATGGTATTGAATTCGTTCCGATGAATGTGTTCTGGCTGGGTGATAGTGTTATCACCGCCAGCGCTTTGAGTAACAACATAATTGCATTGCGAATCAACGAAAAGAAGTAGTTATGTTTTATAGAATCACTTATTATTATTATTTGTGGCTGCTATATTGCAAAACATGGTGTTTTTCTGAGCCTTACTGCTTTTTTTACACGAAAGCTTTCACAGATTTACAGTATCGGCCAAAATAATATGTTTTTTTTTTTTTGACGCACTGTCCATATATTTCTGAAATTTTGCAAAATTTCTGTTCGAAAGTGATCAGTGTCTAACGAGTTTAAGACATTTTTCGACAACATACACACTTAATCGCATTCTCGATGTTCGGTACTTTTTCTATACTCGGCAAAACTATTATATTTCTACACGTTCGGCTATTTTCTATGTTTATACCGAAAACAGTAACGTGAGTTAGGGGTGATGCACACATTATGTCACGCATTAGTTATAGGTTTAGGAAAAACGCAACGAAAAGGGGGAAGGTTGTTAATTTTTCCTCAATTTAGCGTGACTTGATAAATGGATCGCCCCTTACTGAAAACCAATATTTTCTAAAATAAAAAATCATTTACTGTGTTTTGCTATTTTCATTACAGATATGTTCTGTAAACATAAATTCTCTCCTGAGGTAAACATGCTACTTTTACTGAATGGTCATCACTTCATTACCGAACATTTGTTAAAATTTACTGAAGAAACTGTTATTTTTATCATTCGTGGAACAAATGCCAAACACTTCAAAAGCGCACAACTTTATATTAATTATTTTTTCGTACGTAGTGAAACGTGAAGTTTGTTCAAAGTTTAGATGACAATCAGTAAAAATGGATGAAATTTATGAGCGGATCGAACAGTGATAAAAATGCTTGAATTTGTTACAGGATTTGTTACCCACTTCTTCTGTATTGGAATGATGATTTTCTTGAGGTATTACTAAAATTTAAATACTTTTTTTGGAGCACATTTTTCATCAAACCATAGAGAGTCTGCAAGCAGTGAGCTGCATCTCACATGATCATCCATAGAAGGAGGAAGAAGCCGCAGCGCTATTGATTGGAATCAGTAGCTCTTCGTGAGTTGCTGTGGGCCATCTATGTCAAGCGCGTCACCCTCATTCCAAACAACATACAGCTCACCAGCCGAGTCACCATCCTCATCTGTGTTTAACACCCTAATAGCTCAGCATTACTCAACCATCACGACAAAACGGTCCTTTTCAGGACCACTATAAAGTTGTAAAAGAGTATTTTTTTGGACATTTGTCATGGATGTCAGTTCTGGAATTAAGGCGTAACATCTTTTGTAAACAATGACTTTTTTCGTGTCTTGAAAGTCAAGGCTCGCGCATGCAAATCAACATCACCATCAGGTAGGGTAAGACTTTCTCTACCCGACGGTAATGTTGGTTTGCGTGGGCGTGCCTTGAATTCCTAAAAATCATCGAGCGAATTCGTTGTTTACAAAAGCTGTTACGCCTAATTCCAACTCTATCTAGATATGTTTAAATTTAACATACCATGACCTTTGAGGCGACATTGGAGGTGCGGTTTCAAAAACCAAGGTCGGTTGCGTCATGAAAGCGGTCTGATCTTGATGCAGAGATGATGGATTTTAATTCTTAATACGCCAATCGATAGGATTTGTTTCAACGAATCTGTTAAAATTAAGACTTTATCATTTTTCAAAATGTCACTATTGAAAATTTAACGGATGTGCAACTGTTTCTATGATAATTAAAATTATCACCGATTGCCTGCGGAAAGCAATTTCCCTAACACAGATTTCAAATTTGAATTCCATCCGGTCTTACCAAACGGTGTTTATTCAATCACCGCGTGGTGAGTCTTGGTGTTCTCCAGTACACAACGAAAGGCTGCCTGCAAGCAGCTAACTGCAGCCCACATGAGCATCCATAGAAACAGGAAGAAGCTGCACCGCTATTGATCGGAATCAGTAGCTCTTCGTGAGTTGCTGTGGACCATCTATGTCAAGCGCGTCATACTAAAGAGTATAAACAGAGAGAACCCCGCTCAAATTCCTATTCCTACACAAATCACTAGCTCCTGCTGCAGTTAACAAATAACATTTATTATATAAGACCACGTAGTCCTACGACACCATTGCGTACAACCCCATAGGGCTGTCCATTGTTGTTTTTAATTTGCCAGGAAATGCTCGCTAAATCCTTTAAAACGCTCAGACTCTGTTCGGGTGGTCCTCCACGAGGATAGTTTATTCGACCAGAGCATAGCGTAGCGTGACTCGGTGGCTCGGGACGCGTGGTTTTGGTGTCTCCCTCTAACTGTTAACCATTTTCGTTCACTGCTAAAAAGCTGCTTATCATTCAAACACTATTTTCTATTTATCAACATTTTTGAAGCCATACTAAATGTAAAAGGAAGCTACCCACCAGCTTGAGCTTAATCAAGCAAACATATGTTTCTTCAGCTCAAAAATGGTTTATTCAGCTCTTAATCATCTTAAACTTTTGAAATTATTTGACCTTTCGCAAAACGCTCCTCACAGAAATACTTTGGAATTCTTCTCAGAGTACCTTGGAATTCCATGTGCTGTGCTGTGCTGAATTTTCTTGAAATTTTCTTAAGAATGTAATTCAAATTCTTCAGCATTTTTATTTGTTTATCTCAGAACAAAATTCTTTCGGTATTTTTCTCAGATCTTGCTTAAAGTTTTCTTGAGAATCTTTCTCGGCATTCCTTTGAAATTATTATCAGAAAACCCTTTATATTTTATATTTTTTTTTAAATTCTCCTTAATATTCTCCTCACAATCCGCATACAATTCTCTTCAGAATCAACTAGGAACTCTCATTTAAGTTCTCCTAACACCTCCCTTGTAATCAAGGGAGTTCATCAGTTCGTTAATCCTAGAATTAGTTTGGGATTCTTGTTAGAGCTCCGTTGAATCTTTCTTCGAGTTCTTCTCAGAATTTTGAGTTTTCAAAATTCTATAAAAAGTTCTTCAAGTTATTAGAACCCTGAACATTTTTTCAAGTGAACAAAATTTTCCAAATTTGAAATCACGAAGAAAAAAATTCTTAGTCAGAGATCTAGAAACATTTTCAAAATCCTACATTTTGAGTATTTTTCTCAGATTCATTTTGTTGGAAAAAAAATGTAATCGTGTTTTTTCTTCTTAATCTAAGATAGATTTCCCAAATTCCAAAAAATTGTATATTCTAAGACTCTAAACACATGTCAAAGCCTCAGAATCTTGAAAATTAATTTTTTTCTTAAGATTACATTTGTTTTAAAGATTTATATTCGTACAGATCACGGAACTTTAAAAAAAAATCTTGCGCCGTATCAAGTTCAAGATTTTTAAAATAATTTCTTAATATTATCTCTTTCTCTAAAATTCGGGACATTGACGCATTCAGCCTTTATTTGACAACATTGTTTTGGTATTGGTGAGACCTATTCTGCAACTGTTCACTCCTATAGGAAAACCCCATAAGCAAATGTCGAATTTCGTGAAACATAGCGGATCGTTTTTTATCCTTTCACTCCACTGAAGAATCCCGTAGGCAAAATGTTAATATTTCGGTAAAAGGACGGATCGATGTGTTACACACGTTATTTTAAACAACCCAAATTTGAATCTACTCGTATCCGTGAAAAGTAGGGTACTCCAATTGAGTAAGCAAAGTTGGAACTGACAAGATGACGAATGGAATGTCATCTTGTCAGGTCCAACTTTGTTTGCTCAATTTAGGGTAGCCCTATTTTTGACGGATATGAGTTGGATTTCTCCGCTGGTGTCATTATAAATACAAATACAATAGATCTTATAACCTTTGCACAATATAATGTATGGTACATGAGAATACTACAATAGAACTTGTAGGTTGTTATGTATCTTAACCATTCAAAAATATTGCTTTTCCTCACCTCACCGCTCAAAATTTTTAAATCTGCATCATCGAGCCGTTTTTCAAGATGGCCGTGAGAGACCAAATTTTAATGGCGGCCTATTGTCAGATGCAGGCAAATGTTTTTGGAAAATCCCAACGATCTCGCCCCGTTATGAGCGTCCACAGTTCTATGTGCAACAAAGGCAAGGCAAGACGAAATTCAAAACATTTATATAATACTTCCGATTACTTTTTGAATATAATCAAATTCACGTTGAACGCCAATACTAGAGTCATGATTGCTTCATTACACGTCGGACGTCAATACAATATAGCACATTCATGCTCATTTTTTATGAACCATCGAGAAATAATACCCACATTCGGTTTCGCAAATGTTAGTTCGCAACGCAATTCACTCGCGATTCTGGTATAGTAATGTGAGAACAATAAACTCAGGCATAACATTTGATAACGGCACAAAAGCATTTGTAAACAAACTTTCTAAGGCCCTTTACATGCGAACCAAAGTACGCCCACGCAAACCAATACCACTATCGGAAAGGTGATAGTTACCCCTATCCGATGATGTTGTTGGTTTGCGTGGGCGTACTTTGGTTCGCGTGTAAAGGGTCTTAGAAAGTTTGTTTACAAATGCTTTTGTGCCGTTATCAAATGTTATGCCTGAACTTATCACCTAGACTGCTGTGAGTGTTACAAACTTACCAATATCAGATGCCATTGATTCGCGATTAGATTCAACCCTTTTTATGGTCGCGATATTCGTTTTGCCCTGTATACTACATTAAAACCATCGCTAGTGTATCAGAGATATACTCATGTTTCGCTTGCAACATACTTCATCAGCTAAACGCGAAACCTTACTACGATATGCTCACTAACACTTCCACACTTTAGCCACATGAGAAGTAAGAATTATATCGAACAGCAACATATCAATTTTAAAGCTTTTCTCACAGTTTAAGGACCG